GTCATGTTTCATTCCCACTACAATCAATGAGGCAAATTAGTTACGCTTTAGTTCCATTGAAATCAATGGAACAAGTTACTTGTGACTTACTCAAGTCTGTTGATTTCAGTGGGATTAAAGTGTTATTAACTGACTGAATACAACCCACTGTCGATATCTCCTTTAAATGTACAATAATGTCCACAGAGAGAGAGAGAGAAAACCCTGCAACTACACAGGAATTAGCCTTTCTATTAAGGTTTTTCCCCCCATATTCAAGTTGCTAGATTGCATATAAATTCTTTGTTCTGAAGCCAGTGATCATTAAGGAAAAGAATGTTATCTCTGAGCAGGAACTGTTTATTTCAGTATAGTAACAGAAATATGACAAACCCATGTTTAGGGATTATTGAGTTTATTAGTTATTATTATGTACTTTACTGCTTCCTTTAAAAGGAAAAATATCGATTATGTGGTTTGAAAAATATAATTGATTTTAAGAAGTCTATATATGCTTATTTGCTGCACTCATATTAAGCAGTGACTTACAAAAATCAATATGCTACAATAGCGTAAATACATTATGAAACTGGTAGGGAAATACAAGTGGGTTTAATACAAGGTAGCGAGCACCTCGGGTGTTCAGGGCTCAGAACTGCCCTGCTCATGACAGCCACACGTTGCCTCATTGCAGTTGTCCCGCTCGTCGCAAGTGGGTGATCTGACTCATTTTGCAAGTGTCGAGCCTGCAGGCACCACCAAATGGCACCCGCACGCTAGCACCCCGACATTCCATTTCAATTCAAAAGCTGATGGGCCTTATAAAGCAGGAGCTCCTGGTTAATGTGATCATCTGGACATCCTTTAAAACATATTGAACAAATATCTATATTACCTTTACTTTTTTTTTTTTTTTTGGAAGAATGGCTCTAGGATCTCAGAATGCATTAGGTTCTTCTGTTTCATTTTGCTGTTGATGAATACATTACATGCTGCCTCTAGGATTTGTTAGCTTTCAGTTAGCTTTCCTTGGACAAGATGATCTACCTAAAGAACTTCCAGTCTCATGCCTAGCAATGAAAGTGTAGCACAGGAGATTGAAAGAGAGGTTGTTCTCCAAACTTTAGCAGGACAATTTTAGGGTTTGCTTCAGATCCAAAGAGTTTTCAGTAAGAGAATGTGCTTCAGCCAATGCCAAAAGCTAGCTTACTCTTAGAAGGATTTCAGGTTATGTTGTCAAAACAAAACAAAAACGGGCCTGGTATATTTTGAAATATGTGCTCAGACTATTATTTTCTATTCCTCACAATGAGGAGGTGGTATCAGCACAATAGAGTAATAAGCACATCCTTTTGCTGCAAATGAATGTTAGCTTTTGACAGGCTTACTTAATACAAGGTCCCACTGAATTGTCTGTAATGCTCATCTCTCAGATTGTCACTGGTTTGCGCAAGATAAGCCCCAGTGGGATCAACCACAGCTCTGTATCCTTTCACTGGAACTTCCAAAGCCAGTGCAGAGACTTTGGAGTAGTTTGTTAACCATGCAGAAAACCGGTACTTGTCTCTGGGTTGGTGAGGATGGTTTGTTGTCAGGGTGGCTTGTTGTGACATCCAAACCCAGCAGCATGGCTTGTGAATGGCTTTTGGCATGGGCCTTGGAGCCACTTGGCAAGAGCAGCTGACTTCTTGTCATCGTCACGCTACTGCCACTTCCTTCCTCAATGCTGTCTTCCCCCCCACCAACACAGAATTGACTCTTGAGAGTGTCCTTGATGCATTTCTCATGTATTTATTTTATTTTATTTATTTCTATACCAACCAACATCTGAAGCTCTCTGGGTGGTTCACAGCAGCATTAGAAACAGTATAAAATATACCAATCAAAACATATTAAAATGTCATAAAAGTCAACAATACAAAATTTAAAATCAAATAAAAAAAGAAAAGCAAAAATTATGCATGAAAAAGACCCTGTTAAACCCTGCCTAACAGCAAGTAGGCCTCAGTAACTAATTAAATGCTTTGTAGTAGAGGACATTCTTTTCCTTCCAATCTTTCCCCTTCCCCTGTAAAAATGTGACATGGCAGTGATATGCAGAGAAATATAAACATTAGATGTAACTACAGACTGTAGGCAACATCATTTTTATGAATTTCTGAAAACAATTCTTTATTTACACACATAAATATGTAGTGGCAGATAATTACTAACTGAAGATATACCTTGGAAGATGTAGGCACAAATATAATTACTGGTGATTACCTTGGAAAACATTTTACATCACAAATGAAATTTCTGAGAATGAATGCCTATAGATAATTCTAGATGTAATCCAATTTCACTTGCCTATAGGTTTTTAATTGCTCTCTTTCATCACATTCATCATCAGGCTGCCTGGTTTTTTTAATAGTTTGATCAAACGGTATGCTGGGTAAAAGAGGGGAAAAACTGGTAAGTTGAAGCATTTAGCCTCTGTTTAATCTTGCCACTTTAAGTGCTGCAGAAGTGACTTTTATGTTTGCAATGCCAGAAATGTCCAGAAAAGGCAGCTTTAAAAGTACCATATGAGGCAGTTGAGTAAGCAGAGCTCTCAGGGCAGAGGGTCTATTATTTCAGCCTGTCAGAAGACCCCAGTGTGAAATGGTTGTTATGATGAGCACAATTCCTTCCTGTCTTCATCATGATAAGCAAACAGCTATCATACTGTATGTGCAAAAAGTTTTGAAGTTCAACAATTTAGGAAAATGTCAACATGTTATTCCTGCATTCACACATTGTCAGGCCAAAGAAGGCGTGGGGAGTATTTTCTTCAAGAAGTCCAGTCGCAATTTTACTCCTTTCGATTTGGGTTCCCTGACATGGTACAGCATGTGCTATTACAGTCCGGGCAACTCACTTGGTGTTGGTGAGGCCACAGTGAGTTAAATGTGTCTCTCTGTGCTGGATGCACTGCAGAGAGAAATGCGAGATTCCAGCTGCCCAGCGTCTTAGTTTCCCTGAAAGATTTTGGGCCAGATACTTTCTTAGGAAAGAAACAAGGTAGGAGGAGGATGCAGGAAGAAAGGAAAGACAGAGGTAAGGATTCTTGGGGAAGGCACACAGAAGGTGTTGAAGGCCGGGGAGCATCAGTGGGACCTTGGCAGCATCAGGCAGGTGTGCGGAAGGCATGAGCGGGGCATGTGAGAGAGGTGGGAGGGTCTTGAGAGAAAGTGTGACTTTCATGGGGGCATGGCTGGGAGCAGGAAAGAGAAAGAAATGGATGGGCTGGCAGAAACAGAGGGAAGAGAAAGACTGGACGGGAGGTTGACAAGCAGGCAGAAGGCTAATGCTGCTCTCTGCAGACCCAAAATTGAAGCAGACATGAATGGGAGATTGAAATTAACCCTTTGTGCTTCAAGTGGATAGCAACAGTTTTGAGATGGGGTGAAGAATAGCATGCTTCACAGGGATGCTTTTGTGCCATTCCCGTTCATGCAAGGGAGGCCAACTTTTATGTTCTGCGAGAGTTCTAAGCTTGTAATTCTCATTTTCCAGTCTTACCAAGGAGCAGAGCATACTGCAGGGAGAGGAACTGGATGCGCGTGTAGCGTGGGGACCCAAACTGTAGTTGGAAGCCCAATTGTTCCCCAAGGCTGCTATTGCCCACAGAGGGGAAAACCTATGTGTCCGCAATGGAGCTAGGCCTTGATGTCACAACAGCTTCTCAGTGAGTTGTGTGTGGAACTTGGCCGCCCCCTGAACTATTTCTCAAGTAGGCTGCATGCTAGGCCTTGCAGGTAGCTCGCAGGGTTGGCCAAATACATTGGCAGGGGTCAATAGGATAAGATAGAGCTCAATGGCACAGTTATTTCAGCACTGCCAATGGAGCATAGAATAGACTGCCCCTGCGGACAGTAGGATTGATGAGGGACTGTAGAGTAGACCATGTGACACACTCAGCTCTGTCCTTCAGCATCTTGTCCTTCTCACTCACTGCTCCATGTGGCTGCTGCTCCATCCTGCCCCCCCCCCGCTCCATGGCTATCTCTTCCTACCTAATGGTATGACTTATTCCAGGGATGCTCTCCAGGGTAAGTTACTCATTCCTAGGACCAACTAACCTTTGGGTTGGAGAAAACCTCTCCAGTCGTCGTCATCATCATCCTCATCATCATCACATTGCACTAGTCAACTGAGCATGACATACGAGCTACACCAAGAACTCAATTGACCGCTAATATGTACAAGATCACATGGAATGTGCCATTTATTTTAACTATTTACATTTTGAAGCTGTAGATTTTGGGTTGAACAAGATGGCAACAGCCAAGAACGCTACAGCATTAAATAGACTTATGAAAATTTCGACCTAATGATTCACCAGTGGTTTTCTTTGCTGTTGTGTTAACAGCTGAGATGAATGACGGGGGTCTGTGCCAGAGAAGCACAAAATAGGTTTTCTGAATAAAGTCTCAGATACAATGAAGTGGAACTGATAAACATGCCAGGCCTGTTTATCCATATGGACATTGATTATGCTTTAGGGTACGTTAACATCATTTTATGCACAGTCATCTGAAAAAAGCAGTGAAATGCCTAAAGGGGAGAAAAATTAAAGTGGTCAAAGCCAGGCAGATGATTTCTACGATCATCTAGCATACATTTTAAGAAGTTGTTACTCACTTACATATTCTCTCTCATCTGCTAAATAGTTTGCACATTAAGTTGTTGCATACCTCCAAATGTTAAAAAGTACATTATCTTTAGCACGAAGTCATTTCTACAGTTTTACAATTTAAACAATGAACATTTTCAAGGTAAAATAAGATCACAAAAAGCGAGCATTGATATGTACCAAGTGCGCAGAGCTCTTTCCCCTTCTCCAGTGTACTTTCTTTTACAAAATGGGAACTTTTATAATTTCCTTCATAATTTAATTTCACAAATATGTCTGGAACAACTTAACACTCGGAAAATAACATGTTGCAATTATTTTATCTAATTGGATATAACTGAAAATCAAGGATTGGGTACAGTACCTTAGTTTTGTCTCTCATGGAACCTTTACCCAGGATTGACATCTTTGCGCCTGTTTCCTCTTGTAATCTTTTTAAGGAATTTCCTCTTGGACCAAGCAATTTCCCCACAAAATTAAACTGAAAAACAAACAGAATAGGCAGGAATGGAAGTTAGGAAAGTTTGCTTCTGTAAATACCTTGCATAGTGAGGAACAATATGTTCTAGAAGAAAAATTAGGAACAGCTGAGATTACAGTCCCTTGGTTAGGAATGGACAACACTAACAGTTTTGCTTTCTTCCTCCCTTAGACTTTGTAAATCTCAAATTCTTTCCATTGCAATATGAAGAGATTTGTGAATTATTGAAACAAAGCGAAACTGAAGTGAATCACCATTCATCTGTACTCTGGATGGTACAGCTATTCAACAGGTACAGCTAATTCAAGAGCTGCAGCTCTTCCCACCATGGAGAGAGAGATGCTTTATCAACTTTCTATCAACAGCTCTTCACGAAGACGAGCCTGCCAATGAAGCAGGTGGCCGTCCCCATATCTCACAGCAGGGCAATACTGTAGTCAGGGGTAAATTAAGCATCTCCTTCTCATCTACTGAGTCTCCCCTGCAAATGCCTTCCTCCCCCAGCTGCCGCACTCTGATTGCACAATATCGAAAATATTTTCCTCTCTTTATCAAACAGGATACATCAAGTTTGGTGAAACCAAGAGAAGAGTGTTGTGACACCATAAGCTTCCCCAGACAATAGTCAGCATTGTCAGAATGGTATAAGAAAGAGCCATGAAGGAACGACTGATCTCTGTGCAGGACTGCAACAATACAGGGGTGTGGTGTGGATAAAATGGAGAGGAGCAGGAATCTGCAAGTTGACTTGGATTCCTTGCTGGAAAAAGGGGCAGGATAAAAATACAATGACCAAATCCATAGTTCAGGACCTGTCACAGACTTCTCTGTGAAAGTCAGAATGGACTAACATTACTAAATATAGTAAAAAACCCCCACACACATCAAAAGGCTTTTTCCTTTCAAAAATATAAAATATTATGTAAATTTCAGTGTAAGGAATGTATGAGGCTCCTTCTAGAGGCAATTGTTCTTTAGTGATTGGCATCTACTAAACAAAAGTGTTCAACATCAAAGGTGTTTTTCCAGTTTCAAAATATTGTGCCAGAAAAAGAAAAGAAAAAAGAAGAGTAGTTTCCTAAGCTCAAATCCATATGAACAAATCCACAACTCTATATTTTGGTGGGGCAATGTATAGTTCCATTTAAACAGATGATGAGGATGATGATGATGGAGAGCTTATGAACCTACTTTCTTTTATCATTATGACAAAATTGCTTTTGTCATTATTTTGTTTATTTCTATGCCACCAAGTAGCCAAAGCACTTTGGGAAGTGTTCAGCAAAGACCTTTGACCTTGAAAAGACTTACGCGATACCAGCTATTGAAGAGCAATTGTCACCAAATTCAAAAATGATGCCTTCTCTGTTCAGTGCACCCTGTGGTGGTGTGGGCAGAAAGTAGATCTCCAGCTATTTGGGACTTTAACTCCTCACACCCTTGATCACTGGCCAGGCTGGCAGGGCCTTCTGGGAGTGGAATCCAAAACTTAGGGAGATCTACCTACTACTCATCCTTCTTTTTTTGGGAACTCTGCTCAAGCTTGTTGTTGTCATTATTTTTTACAGTTCCATGTGTTCTGCTTTGTAAGCCAGCAAGGAGGCATCGTTAGTCAGTTTTGACTAATTTTTTTCTACAGGAGTCTATGGCAGGTGCAGGACTGTGTTAAGTCACTCTTTCTCAGTCCCTCATCCTGTGAGCTCCCAGTCCTGACCACCAGTATCTGTCTGCTCTGGATCCAACCATCGTTCATTTATCCTCAGTGAGCTCATGCCTATTCACAATATCTGAGGAGACCGCAGCATGTCAGATATTGGAATATGCATATTTAGAAACACATATCCATATTTAGAAACTTTCTACCCAATTACTCAGAGACATAACTGCTAGAGGAAATGCATTACAGATGGGTAGTGCATTGCATAAAATATGTAGAAAGGGAATCTCAAGCATTGTCACAACAATGTAGATAAGTAATTGGGTATTTTTAAAGATCTATGAGGTGACACTCACCTATGGCTACTGAGGTAGAATAAACCTTTCCAAATTATCTTTGTTTAGTTCAATCTCAGATTCCAGAAGCTGGGAGCTGTACCAGGAATACTCACTTTTTCATACCAAGAAACACCTGTACTCTCTGGACAGTTCCCAGCTACCACCACCAGTAATAAAGTACCAATAAGTTTCTACCACCACCAAGAGACAGGTGAGATGTAGCTTGATTTAGCTTTGATGCTAAAGGCTGCACTGGTATGGTCCACCAAGGACAAGAGCAGAAGCCATGGCTGTCGAACTGAAGTATGAACCTGAGCAAGAAGGTAGTGTTATTTTCCATCTTATCAGTCTTATCTATCCTGTCCACCCACCCACCCACCCATCATGTTGATAGCCCACCTTATCTGCTAAGAAGCCACCGAGTCTTCCAGATGCAATAATGCAATAACTTCCAGATTTTCCCCCAAAGTAACCAGTTAACTTTGCTGAACAGACTTTATAGCACGTACCATGAAAAATAATGTGGATTGCTAACCTAGGGACCTGGGAGTCACTGCATTGTAGACACTGAATGCACTGGTCTGGATCTACTGGTAAGGAATTGTGCTACTGACCTCCCCAGTTCCCCATGACAGCAAGAGGCAGCCCAGCATGGCATGGCAATCCTGTCGTGCTGCAGGAGTGGTGAAAGGCTGCACTTAGTGCTCTGAGCCACGATGCTCTGAGCACCAGCCTTGTTACTCAGGCCTTTAGCACGTTGGCCAAGGTGGGAAGACCAGGTAGCCAGCAGGATTCGTTAACATGTCCCTGCTCCATGCCGCTGCCAACATTCAGGCTGAATCCAATGCAGAAGTGCCCACTTATTCAAGCCAAGCAACGTTCTGTCTCAATTCTTGCTCTGCTTTTTACTGCCCCTCTGCAGACAGTTAGGGTTGCATGCTGCCGTACACACTACCAATTAGATACCTGCACAAACTTAAAAGGTAGCTTCTTATTGGCCTAAATCTCTGGTCTAACTGCATTAAATCTACCAATCTACCATTTTATTAAGCTATGTTCTGACAAAAACATTTTTTATAGATGTGATGTTGTTAGTCTTGCAAAATGTGGAAGTTCATGCTTATATTGGTGCACGATTTGACTATGTGCTGGGTCATATCAACTGTCTGAATCTAGAGATTAGTACACACAGAGAAAGCCCATATGCTGGCACAGTGCCATCAAGCAGATGGCCAGTAACTCTAAGCAAACATCTTCCTGAGGACAAGTCCACACGGATATAACAAGCTATTCCCTCTGTTTTTGGTCTAGTAATTTTCTGTCAGAATTTGGTAACAAGTTGTGGCAGGGAAATAAAGGAACTTAGAGGGTCTTAGCATTAATATTTTTGTGGGGGGAGATTAAAAATAATTGGGCTCTGTCTCCAATGTATCTTTATTTGGGGAAACTTAATGAAGCTCTTCTGGTGAAAAATTGCCCAGTTATTTTTCCTTTTACATATATTAGCATTTTGATTTATGATCTTCTAATCTGTAAATAATACCAATGTTGCATTGAACTGTTTGCACATTAAAACAAAACAAAAACCACTACGTAATTAGAGGGAACTCAGTCAAGACTAAACATTTGGAACATGGGCAGGTGCCCATGTTCTACTGAGCTGGATCGGAGGTAGTGTTGGTGCTGACCGCAGTTGCTCAGCCGGGATTCACACATGAGTTTTTCCAGGCCTATATGGAGATGCTGGGGGCTGAACATCTCAAGAGGACCAGCTACCTAGTTGTACAAAAATGAGTTTCCATTCACATGTGCACTGAGCTCACCTAAGCCACAATGAATATACAACAGGCAATATTTAGAGATGTCATTCTGCTAATGCAAATTACACAGTGCTAATATAAAAGAAAGGAAATCAACCCTGATGGTTCTTTAGAAGGTCAGATACTGAAGTTGAAGCTCAAATACTTTGGCCACCTAATGAGAAAGAAGGACTCATTGGAGAAGACCTTGATGCTGGAAATGATTGACGGCAAAAGGAGAAGGGGACGGCAGAGGTTGAGGTAGCTAGATGGGGTCACAGGGCAGAGGGCATGGGCTTAGGTCCTGGCCCCGGCATGAAGTCAGTTACCAAGAACTTCCACCACCAGTACAGCTAATCTCATCAATAAAAATAATCTGAACTTTAATTTTCAAGAAGGACATGTTTTAGAGTAGACATAGCAAAATATTATCAGTAGGTGCAACAATGAAAGGGAAAAGGAGTGAGGCATTCAGATGGTCAAGTTACGCAGCAGTCCAAACACACTTTGTGTGCTCGGATACAATGGTATGGTATGTATGGTAGGGACCACCCAGCAGATTCGGGTCAACTACAGAAGAGATGCCTTCCAACCAAGAGGGTGGGGAACCTCTTTTAGTTCAAAGGTCAACCCCAGTCTTGGAGAAGCTCTTGGAAGGGGGCACGTCTCTTTGATGGGCATAACTACAAGCAGAGAGGACACAGGCAAAGACAAAAGGGCAGGCACCACACATCCACCCCAGTACTTTAGCTTAAAACTCTGCCTGCCAGTGACAAAGCTATTTCAAAAATTTAGAATGGGGGAAAAACTGCACCAAAGCTGGGAAACCCCCCAAGCCATGGATATGTGTGTGGTAGGGCAGTGGGCATAGCCATCGGGAACCCCTCGCCCCCTGGGAGCAGGCTGGGATCCTGGGGATGGCCCTGGGCTTCAGGTTCCACACCTCTGTCTTCACTTAATGACACGCCAAGCACAGGGATTCACTGAATGTCAACCTTCATTGACAAAAAGATACAATACAATAACAGCTATTTTAAAAAGCAATAAAATAAAGCTAAACTAACATTAGAATTGACCGAGCTGCATTTTTATCAAACAGCAAAGGCTAGCTAGGTAGAAAGGATGGGTTTTTGTTAGCTTTAAAAAGCAACAAAATATCCAGCTTGGTGCATTACCCAAGAGTGAGCATTCTGCATAGATGGAGCA